TTTTCCCCCCCCCCCCCCCCCCCCCCTCCTCTCCGTTCCTTTCTTCTGGGATTCCATCGAGAACTGAACTACCCCCAAGAACGACCGGAAACACGAAATGAAAAAAATGGCTCACGGATGCAGAGGACGATCAAGAAGACGACGTAGACGACCAGTTCTCTGAGGGTGGTTCGGACGTAGATCTCCCTGTCTTTGGTCTTGTTCATCTGCCGGGTCGCCCACATCCCTGGAACGAGACACGAAGGATCGACGATCCTCGGATGCGCGAGAGGGGGAAGACCCGGAGAGATCTCTGGTGTTTACCGCCGAGGCATCCCGTGAATCCATCCCAACATCCTCCGGACTCCTTCTCCCGGATCTTGTAATCGTCGTAATCGTCCAGATCTCCCACCTCCGCCCTGGCCGGATCCTTCCAGCCGTGTCCCTGGTTCGGACGATGCATCTCGCTTCGGACGGTGCGGCTCACTCGCTCGGACGAATCATGAGGACGGGGAAACGGCGTGCACGATGGTACGAGGCGCGATGTCCTTCCCTGATCGGCGAACGGCACCTACTGCCTAGAGACGGAGTCGGGTGCCGAGGTTTAACCTCTCGGTCGCCATCGACACGAATAAACAGGGCATCACCATGGTACCTTTACCGCGTCGATGAAACCCCGATCGTGATTGTAGGCCTCGTTCGTTCGTCCTTCCTCAGGTGCGCATTTCCGCTGGGAAATCGTTGCGAGTGTTATGGGGGCGGGTGGAAAAGGAGCCGAGCTCCGATGCTTGTTTTTCACGTCTTTTACCTTTTTTTTCTCCCTCCGATCCGGTGGTGCGACTCGCGTTCGAGGACTGCAGCTACCACCGAAAGTCGAATCGACCTCGTCCGATTATTAATCGATACCGCTTTTCGGAGACGATCTTCTCCGCGACCGGTCGGAAGGAGGCCCTGGTTTCTACATCACCGACCTCATCCGATCTTCAGCCTTTCTTCTACACCCTGCATGGAAATACGAGATAAATACGAACCACGCCGATTTATCATTTTCTCTCTATTTTCTGGCAGTCGCGAAGTCGACGTCGGCCACGCCGCTCGGTAATTTGGTCCGATTCCGTCCAGTCCGTGACGTGACTCGAGTGGACTCATCACGCGTCGACGGACTCCAAACGGATGACGTATCGTCGTTACCGAAAGCTACTGTAAGCGGTCGAGTTAATGGAAGCATGCGGGAGAGGATCTTAATGAAACCCTCCTTCTCGGTTCTCTATAAATATCAACAGAGAAGAGGGTTGGCACTAATGAGAGCTAACGAGCCGTCTTGGAAAACGTATCCGAGGCGGAAAAGCTCCGCGTTTGATTTCAGACGTTCGAAAGGGTGCGTGCGTCACGGACCTGCAATTACCGTCACGGATCGGCAATTACCGTCACGGATGTTCTTCGATGGGGCCGAGCGAGTGACGCCTTCGCGAAAGAGCCGTGAAAAGTTTCGTGCCGGATGCGAATCGACGAGGCTTCGGCGAAGTCAAGTCATCCTCACGTCCAAAGAAGAAGAACGGAGATGTGCTCCTCCAACTTCCACCGGGTCGGGTAATCGGATATACGAGGGTATGAAGAAGGGGAGAGAAGTGGAGGTTGCGCAGTTGCGGCTGGATGAGGAACGGATGAAGACGTTCTGGGATCTCCGCTTCCTTCATTCCCCGCCCCGTCTCGTCCCACGCTCCCCCGTCGTCCACGTCCGCTTCTCGGTGCAACATGTGCCGTGGTGAAAATCGCTTCCGATCCCCTCGGTACTCTTTTCTTTCTCGGTACTCTTTCCTTTCTTCGTCTCTACGGACGGTCGCGAGACGGTTCGAAGGACTCGTTACGACGAATTAACCATTTCCGAGCAGAGGGCGTGCCCTCTGCTTGCAGGCCCTCGAGTCGTGGAACGATGTCGTTAGGAAGGCCGCAGCGACGATAAGTACGGTGCGCGTATCGTCGGGAACGTCTCATTCGATTGCACGTTTTCCCTCTCCTCCGCAAGTGCCATTTCGCGATCGTACGTCCGAACTTCGCCGAAGGTAAAGCCCGAAAAATAAATCATTCTCCGAGGATTTTCATTTCGAGGTACGATATGGCCGTGCGAGGCCCCCATTTCAATCGCGGATGTGGAACTTTTTTAATATAATGTCTGCAATTCTCTTTTTTCATCTTCCCTTTCTCTTCGCTTTCCTCGTCGGATCGGGAGAGAGAACACGAAATAAAGAATTGCTGCTGCTCGCATTCGTTATGGGCTCGGTTTCGGATATGACTCTAGAATGGCATCTCTCGGGGCGAAAGAGCCGATGGTTCATTCGAGTCCATTTCGTTCACTTTATGAACCCCTCGTATAAGTATGCCGACCTTTTCCGAGAAAGGAACCGTTTCGCTTTGCAAATTGGAAGAGGAAAAACGGATTACGTCACGAAACGAATGAGAAAGTTGGGATACATTTCGACAAAGGGAATTCGGAACGAGGTCGACTCCTGTCTCTCCGTTTCGTTCCAGATGACCCGACGAGGTGAAGGTTCGAGATGAGGTTGAAGGCGTTGATCCTCGCGATGCTGTCGCTCTCGTGTTGGGGATGGAGAGGAGAGAAGATCCGAATCGGAGCCGGACTCATCGTCCCTCATTCCACGTTCCGAATGAGAGATTACATGAAGGCGAAGCAGACAGCGGTGCGAGAACTCGCGAAGGAGGGAGCCTCTTTCCTTACCTCATTCCGTCTGTCGGCCGAGGACATCCATTTGACCATGCTGCCTCTTCATCCGAGCCCCACGCGTAAGGTTCTTTTCCGTCCGTTCGTACGAAAGCGAACGCGGATCACCCATCGCCTCCATCCGAGGGCGGTCTTTTCGTTCTCTCGTTTCGGTCATTTTCGTAAAGGCTGCACTCAGTAGTTACAGATTAGAAGTCCCAAGCTCGAAAGAAACTGCCCCATGAGACACATACAGATAATGTCGTGGTGGCGTTCCTCCAGACCAGAAAAAAAGAAAAAAAAAAAACTTCTTTTAGAACGAATTAAGGAAATGACTCCTATCCTTAATTCATTCGCGCTGTTAATCCGAAACCCTTTGCCAAGGTGCAGTGAACTGCCATTCATTCATATTTGATGCAGAGCGTATGACGTCGAACCGGATGTCACCATAATTTACCGTCGAGCTAGGGAGTTTGCGCCACGGCGCTTGACCTCGTTCTCGCAGTTCCTCGAGGTGCGATTCGGCACGGCCTCGTCTCGAGACGGACGGAGAACGGGGATGCTGTCGAGGGTGGGGAAATCGATGCTAGGGGCCTTCATCGTGACCCGAGTCGAGGTGAAAAGAGGAAAAGGGGAGAAAGAGGAGCCGAAAAGCCCCTCACCTCCGTGTACGTCTACGGCGGCAGCAACTCCAGGCGCACGATAGTGTCTCCGTTTAAAAAGGCCGAGGCCCGTATTCACGTCTTTCCCTTAGCTTAGGGATCACTTAAGAGTTAGGGGTCCCCTAGCTAAGGGTTCCCTGAGAGACGATGACTGAAAAGGCTCGAATATGAGTTCCCTAGGGGTACCGTATTCCCATCCTTCCCTCAGCTTGGGAATCCCTAAACGCGCCCCTAAGAGATATAGGAAGTCGTAAAGAAGTTAGGGGAGTCTTCAACCGCTCTTAGCAGATTCCTGCGAGTTCGTTGCAGTCTTCCGGAGAGCAGCATCCCATCGTCAGGTTCATGTCTTTGCATTTGGGTATCGATATTGGATTCGGCGAATTCTTTGACCTGTCCATATAGATCAATGGTCCCCAAACTTTTTTCGGTGAGGGCCTAACGGACGATTCACTCCACCTTGAGTGGGCCGCACTCGTAACGTTAGTCAACCTGGAATGGATCGCATTAAGAAAGATCCAACATTTCTGCATGGGTAACCCTTTATCTGGCCATCGACTTCTTGGTCAAGCTTCTTAAAATAGGAAGTCCCATTTTAAAAATGGGGAGGAAAAAACCTGCCTATTTCTGCCGCATCCACACACACTTTCAACTCTTGTAGTCACAAGAACTGCCACTGCTTGGAGTCAGGGCTCCTGTAAACGCATCAGTTCTAGGTACTCCTTTCTTACAAGTTGCATTTTCGATAAACACTCCTTTTTTCTCATAGACTTCACCATTTACTTGCGTGGTAAGACACTTTTCTCTGCAGTACATGGATGCTCCGAATTTCGGGCAAATTCAGCAGGTGCACACCTAAATACATTAAACATTGAGTTGTAAACATGTATTATACTGTAAGTATCTGTATCTGGCTACAGCAAAGGACTCCAAATCCTTCGCGGTTCGTCTCGATTATTGAGTGCCGATAAAACGGCAAAATTTGAATACGTCAATTATTAGTTCATCTCAGTGGGCCGCTTTTTTCATACCGCTGATATAGATCATGCTCTTGTAGCATTTCATCATTTTATTGACACTCCTGTCATGCATGTTGCATCAATGATCATCGATGCAACATTGATGGTAGGTGAAAGAATAATTGTCATTTTTTAATTGAACATAAATAATTGCGTTGAGGCTAAACACGTTGAGTACCCGCCAGGGCCTAGGCCGGTACTCATGCTAATGTGAAGAAAGCCATTACAACGGAATCTTTTAGACGAAACAATGAATGTTCATGAAATCAACGACAATTTTTTTCAGACGAGGACACATTTTCATTTGACCTTGGCACTAATTCATGGGAAGTGTTATAACTGGGTATCATAGTCATCAAAAAGTGTCAGACACAAGAGGAAAAAAAATCAATTTATGAGCAGAGATTCTCTGACTTCTGTGTGTGACGAGGAGGCCACCAAGATGAAAGCATTCCAGCGCATGCGCCCTCTCCTCCATCTTAAAAGGATTCCCTAGCTAAGGGCCCCCTTACAGACCAACGTGAATATCATTTTTAGGGAAATCCTTACCTAGGGGTCCCCTGTTACGTGCCTGGGAGGGTGATGTAAATATGGGCCTTATTCCAAATTTTGTATTAACACCTGATGATGTTATTTTAAAAGAACGTTACCATAACTATATCCAGCAAAAGGCAAGCTAACGATTGAATTTTAATGCACTAAATGTTTGATATGACCTGCATGGCATGCAAACAGCAGAACGAAGGCGATTCCTCTGGTAAACTACCCGCATGCGCTCCGGTCCAATGAAATGGTTTCCAACTTCTTTGAAATATGACTAATAGCCTTGACTCGCCACAAGGCATTTCAATGAAATCCCACAAAGCTCTTGAAAACATATCAGCCTATGCTCAGTGCAAATTTCGTGGTAATAGCTATAGTCAGAGCAGAGATTTTTTTCTCAAACTTGGAGTGGGAGATAACATTTTTGAGTGACTTCTATATGGCAGAAGCGAGTTTCGCTCGACGACACCATTCTTCATGTGGACAATGTGAATGAAAGGACAAATTGATTTTTAGGGGGGGGTTCAATCCTCAGATGCTCTCAAAAGTGACGAAATGCCATAAGAAAAATCTATTAATAAGGTGCTGCTGGAGTGCACCGAACATGCAAGCTTCTAGAAGGGAAAACTGGAAGCTCCCCTATCATCTACTACTAGAGTTGGGTTTAAGGATCCCTTAGCTAGGGGAGAAAAGTGAATACGGAACATCTGGGGGGTCCCTAACTTTCTTGACTTAGGGGAGGGGACTTCCCTTAACGATTAGGGGAGCGATGTGAGTAAGGGCCCGAATGCCGAAATTTCCTTTAGTTAACGGTCCCTTAGGAATTAATAGACTCCTATGGGGGAGGAAGAGCCTTTTAACTTAAAGGCCCCTTTATCTCCCTTAAATGAGGTTTGTGCGTTCGGACCTTCGGATGCACCTGTGACACGATGCAGTACGTGCGTGCTGCATGCTTTGGCCAGATCGACTTTTTCTTTGTCCTATACCTCTGCTCTGTCGTGGAGCTACCACCCGCTACCCTACTCGCTTCACCTTTTCCACATCGTTTGGCGATCCGACATCCTCCGCTTCAGATCACCTCGAAAAGGATGAGAGGTCGGCCTAGCTATGTCTTTTCGGTCTCGCGCGTAACCTCGTTTTCTGCCACGATGTTACGAGTCGATGTTAAATCGTCGCTGCGAGCCCAGCGTCTGCCCTTTTCGGCCCGATCTGTTATCATGGGGGGGGGGGGGGGGGGAAGGACCAGTTCAGCTCGAAATTGAATACCGTACAGCAGCATAATTGGGGCAAACGTGTTGCATCGAAGGAAAATGTACTGTACTAAGTTTAATACTTGGTCAGGAGAGCTCCTCTCTCAATTCAACCTATACCCATCTTAGGTCCAGTGGAACAGACGATCGGGGCAGAGTGGCAGATGTTTTATTGGAGAATGTTTTGAGGAATGCGATCTGTGAATGAAACGGTTGGGATGACGTTCTGTTCCCAGTGATCCTGAGCACACTATGTCAGGACTTCTTACCTCGGAACGTGTCGGTGATCTTCTACCTGACGAACACGGAGGTCTACGGACGGAACACGGCTTCGGCTCAGTATTTCCTCCAGCTTTCCTCTTATCTCGGCATCCCCGTCATCGCGTGGAATGCTGACAATTCCGGACTCGAACGGGTGAGTCTCTTTTTTTTCCGTTCGGACTCGAGGCATTAGAGAGTTTGCGAGATCGGGATCGGGACGGGAACGGGAACGAGACCGCGAACGGACAGGGGCGGGGCTCCTCTACTAATCCGTTCTCGTATTAGTAGAGGAAAATGACTGCGGATTTCGGGTCCGTGAACGAGAACGGGGAGATGCTGGTGGCAGCCGAGTGGAAAGGAAGAGGGGAGGTATATGAAGGCTAGGCCGCAGCCCAGGATGTTCTACTATCCATGCATACATCAGAGCTTCAAGATTCGATTAGAGCCTGTGTTAGACGTACCATGTTCCCTACTGCTAGAATAAGCGTTGTTTCAACTATGCTACGACCCTCAAAATATGAATGCCGTAATGTACTAATGCTTTTAAGAGGAGCTCCATTTTGGGTCATTTCGAGTCATCTGTGATGCTCAACGGGACACCGCAGAATCTCTTGCTGTGCCTTTTCGTTTCATTCCGAGTTGCAGAGTTCCAAAATGAAAATTTTCGGAGGCATCCCTGTTTGGCATGGTCACATATACCAGTTCAGCTCGAAATTGAATACCGTACAGCAGCATAATTGGGGCAAACGTGTTGCATCGAAGGAAAATGTACTGTACTAAGTTTAATACTTGGTCAGGAGAGCTCCTCTCTCAATTCAACCTATATTCAGCTTAAAGTCACCTCTATAATTTGAAGTAATCATTCAAGTTTTTACATAGAAGCTTCCTACATCATTTGAAAGGAAATTGTTACGCAAGGCGACTTAGATAGCAATAAATCCTTGAATCGTCCGATCCGTTCTTCAGGACGGAAAGACGGGGACTGAGTCGTCCGACCCCGACGAATCAGACGGGGTTGGAGCTTATTTTACACGTAGTTGATGACATGTTTTGGTTCCCGTATCCGTTCCAATCTCAGGGACGAGATGCACCAAACTCTCTATTAACTCCTTCAGTGCTTCCGAGACCTGCTCCGACTGCCCCTCCTCCTTCCCCCTTCTCCTCCCTCCTTTCCCCTTCTCCCCACTCCTCCCCCTTCCCACTTCAAGCCATGGCTTGAACTGTGATTAATGGCTGCAGCCATTAATCACAGTTTCAGTAAAATCCCAATGCGCTCTTACGCACTACGCGTGATACACATTATGCAATTTGGCAACTTCCGTAATTCGGCAGAATACGGGATGCGTAGCTACTGCATTGAAAGCACGCAGAGAACAGTGTGGCAAGGACGAAGTAGCGACGTGCGTGGCACTGAAGGAATAGAAATGAGTGATATCATTTGTTTTCGAACGGCCGCTTCCAGCCTAATCGCGAGAGTGAATTCCACTGTTTTCCACCACATTGCGACATTCATGGAATTCATTTCCGAGTCGTTCTACTCATTTATTTAATTTTTGTGTTGCCCAGAGATTCCCAGCCTGTGGTATAGAATCCTTGAACGGCAAAAAGGGAGAGCGGGTCGCATGCTTCCGGGCGCAACAGCATCAAAACCAAGTGAAAGCATTAGTCTTAGTCGAATATTGAGCATTTATTGAACCGTCCGTATAAGAGAAGGAGAGAGAGGAAAATTAATCTGATGACGTCACCAGGAGGAAAGGAGAGGAAGCTTGTTGTGCGTTCGGATGTCAGAAGGGAACGAAAAGAGGGAGTTGGAACTAAGACACTTCTCCTTTCCTTCGATGGGCCAGCTGACGTCATCGCGTTAATTTTCCTCTCTCAGTATCTCCTTAATGGATGGTTCAACAGATGTGCGATTTTCGTCAATGACTTCCATTCGTCACCACTCAGAGATAGAGATGCGGTTGTAAAAATGTGAACTCTCCCTGTAATCAGGACTGGGTTACGAAACGGAAACAAACGCGAAACGGAAAAAAATATATCAAAATAGCAGCGAAATCTTGATAATGGTATTAACGATATTCATTTGTGTTTTTTTTCCTTCCCTGAAATCAGCAGACGTAATAAATATAAGGTCATGTATTACAATTCAATCATCTTCGCTATTTTCCGTGGAGGAAATTGCTGGAATGACCACTCCCAATCTAAAGTCCGTGCATCATCCATGAAACAGTACGTGACCGTTGCCTTCAGCTAATATCTGACACCCTTTGGGTAATCAAAATAAATTATCCGAAGCCACCCCTCCCCCCCGCCCACCGTTCAGCCTACCGACCGTCAAACTCCAGACCGATTAATGATTTTAAGTTTAGAGTACCAATAGATTTGCCATTCCACCGGTCAATTATCCCATAGGTCACCATAAATGCGTCTTCCCGATTGGATGCTACAACCCAACTTCCATCGGGGAAGCATCAGTTGGTTCTCAAAATACGGTAACACAGGGATTTATGCAAAGATCACCCTGAGGGCTACGGTTGCTATGGCAACTGCCGATAAGGTGGAATTAAAAATAATTTTTTAATGAACAGTAAACGCAAGGATGATGCCACAATGTAGATAAAAAGGAAATTGAACCTTTTTCAGGTCAGATTTCTCTCCAACTTCAGTGACTGCGGTGTTATTTGAAAAAAGAGAGTTATTTCATGTGCAGTCTACGGAGCATGAAGACAGGCAACGGGAGAAGAAAGAAAACCACACCTGGCATCCCTCTTGGCACAATAATCCCATTCGGCAAATTTTGTCAACGTTGTGCGAGGATTGATTTATCAACGTAGCAATGTTTCCACAACGTTGTGTAAGACATGGATTCAATGTTACCGCAATGTTGAAATGAAACAATTCAACATTGAATATAAAACTCGTACGCTCATGTGTCACGTAGTATAGATAAATTGTCCACGTCTTGGCATTGCCTCCTCCTTTTCCTGATTTTCAAAATGCGTTAATATGAATGAGAGCTTGAAAGCCCTATAGCGAATACCGCCATCCCACTGCTGATTACTTTTGAGGCTGTAACTTCCTGTATCGAATTTTAATATGAGATGAGTTCTAGGATGAGAAATCTGATTATATCTAAAAAAGGGATTACGTGTCTAGCATCGTCCCCGTTTCTATCTCATCCGCAGTAGAAGCGCCAGACACACCCTCGCATGCAGATTAATACGCTCTGTCATCCTCATAAGAGATAAATGGGAGCCCGGGACGGCATCTGCGCCATGTAGTGAACTCGAAAGATTCCGCATCCTTCCTTGGACTCTCTGCTCAGAAGTAGCTGGACTCTACTTCCACCGGCTCACCTCCCTAGCCAGGTCTATTCAGGAATTCCAAAGCCTCCTTTTAAGTTGTACGTGGGAAAAGATCGGGTACCGTATCAAAAATAAACGAACTCATTAAAATGGTACCTAGGTAAGAATCGCTAAAGCGGCGGTTAGGCGCTACCTCGTGTTGATTGCTAGAACCTATTTTCTGTTGAGACGATAACTCCATGTTAGAACACCATTGAGACTACGATGAAGGCAAATGTGAAAAATGAATTAGCTCTTCATAGCCTCCGAACGACTTTGCTGATCCCTGAGTAGTCTCTATATGCGGAAAATGCAAATAATTACGAACAGCCGGCATTTCATTCCTGTTGATTCTTCGCTGAAATCGCAACGTCAAGCATGTCTCAACATTTCAGCCATTTTTTGACGCTGAAGCTGAAGTATCAACGAAAAATGAATAGCATATAAATGTTGACTATTCGTAATTAACAGCATTTTCACCATATAGAGACTACTCAGTGTCACTACTCACAGTGAAGTCGTTTGGAGGATCAACTGATATACTTTATATCGGTTGAACTCATATCTAGTTCGTAAGAAATGATGTAAATATAGGAACGTAAATTTTATATGAACATGACATCATTTGCATGACAATCGCAAGAAATTGACTTTGTTTGCAAAAAATTGATATATTGTTTACATAAACATGCTGTTTGGGAACGTGTTGTGGGAAGGTTTCTATGACAACTGCGGAAGACTGAATGGAAAAAAAAGAAAGGAAAATAGCGAAAACTGATCATAGTATATGCAATTCCGAAGATGGCATCTGAAAACCGACATCCTTCTGAGACGTACCAATAGAGGGTGGATGATGGTGAGAGGTGGTGAAACCCATTCTGAGATCTGGCTTCTGAGATGATACACTTCCATTTCCAATCTCTTAGAAAGGACCAGAAAGAAGAGAAATGAAGTTGATGACGTAATTATGATAGAACTAGCAGCTACCTGTGAACCATTCACGTCTTCCTATTTATGTTAGTCGACTTCTGACCCATAACATTTAAATGAGACACACTGCTGGAATTTTAAGTAGCGATAATTTCCGAGCGGCTCGATCCGCAATCGAGTTTATAGTTGGGTGCTGGCGAATATGCTATTAGTGGGGTCTTTCTCTCCAGCCGCTTACAGCTGCTGGCAAAAAGACATCTCGTTCCCTCAGCGCTCGACGCGATCACGTCGTTAAATGACGTCACTTTCGGGCAAGTCGCTGACAGCAGAACGTAGTGAACCATGAGAGCACCGAACAGGCAGAACGAATGTCATGGGATAGCTGGAAGCGTCAGCAGAGTCGTTTAGGAAAGGGACGAATCCAGAGACCCCGAGTTCTGAAGCTTAAAAGCCTAAGCGGGTCGGCCGAATCGGTCCGACACTACCAGTGGTTGGGGTCGGTCCGGCGGTGGAGTTTCGGGTCGGGGAGGACCACGATTCGAATCGGACCGAACGGGTCTAGTTCGAAAAAGTTGACTCGTGCAGGCCTCCAGCGGACAGACAGACAGACAGAGGACGTCGGCTATTATTATATAGAGAAACAGATACGTAACTGAAACGAAATTGGAAGAACAGACAAAAATGAAATAGTCGGGGTTTCCAAGGGAAAAGAATTGAAACAAAAGGAAACCAATTTCGTTACCCAGCCCTACCTTTAGTTAGGCATGCCGCACTGCGAGTTTCAAACCCTTGGACTCAAAGGAAGTAAAAATCGTGTGGGATACACCAGGAAATACCCCCCAAAAGCGAGGGAGACCTTGCCTGCAAAGACAGGCATTCG